TACCCTTGCCTCCTGTCAGTGTTCCAAAAGGAAGAAATAGTATGGGATTTATCTTTTATCATGTTTATTCCTTACAGAATAATTGTTATGGAATATTTGTTTCATAAGGAATATTTGTAATGAATTTGTCTATATTAAAGTTTTCAAAGGGACGTCTGTTATAAGGAACAAATATACGTGGATATCATTACTATACAGTTAAAACACAAGATTCAATTCATACACATGTAATTTAAATCTTTAAATCAATTTTGTGTTTTGATACGATACCCACAGTTAAAGTCTAATTTGTCAACCTCAGCGTCTAGTATATATCATTTCGTAACACGTCAAGAGACGCATTTCTCATCTTGATTAATGAATTGTAAATTTGACGTCCAGTGACAAGTATCTAAACTCAAATTCTTTACTCCTGGGATGATAAATGCAACGTCCTCCAAATAAAGGGACATGCCAAGAACCAATCCCTTGATTAAAATAAACGGGGTTGGGTTCCTAGAAACAAACGGAACAAAAAGGTATGTGGTCTAGATCCCCTTATATTACACGTTTTCGGGTCAGTACATTATGCTTATTTGTTTTTAAATCATGATATTTCTAGAAATATTCAAGGAATTTACACCCCTCTCTGTTTCCCTTCTAAAAAATATCCTTGCATATTTTTATTTATAAGTTTCAATGAGAACAAGCAAGGATTAACACCCCTTAAAATATCCTTGAATCTTTTTTTTATGAATTTCCTTTGATTCTAGGTATCCTCGGAATTTATGTTTAAATCATTTATTGTACGTGCATTTTGTGTTCATGGCAATTAAAATTGGACGTGGATCTAAACTTTTTTTACATTTCAAAGGGATCTTACAATTCCATCGCATTTCCTTTTTCATTTTTACTTAGAAACCCTTCCCCGTGTATTTAATCGGAAAAGTGGTCCATGTCCTATTTCTCTTTTTTGTAGGAGAGGAGGGCATTTAACCTGTTTCTCTGAGTACAGAAAGCTTGTCAAATATTCGACACTGGACGACAATCAAACAATTGATCAATCAATTAATCAATATGAAATCTGCTTCTCTTTACGTTATGCAGATCAATCTCTTTGTGTTTTAAAGCCGTCAATCAATCATTAAATTATTTCATCAGTCAATGCCAATCAAACAATCAATAAACACATCTACCGGCAACCAACCCATCCACATAAAAAACTTTTTACTCCATATCATCAATCAACAAGCATGTTAAACTTAGAAAATATGGAATGACTTCCATTAAAAATATTTTGCGAAAACACTATTTTTTTAAAACAGTCATTTTATATTTATTGTAAGCAAGGTTATAAGAGCTATAAATGTATAGAGTAAATCAAAAAAGAAATATATTCTTTTGAGATGATCCCTTATTTAAATGTCTCAACTCTAGACTGTCAACTGTAAATATTTATCTAACATATAAAAAAGTAGATGTGGTATGATTGCCAATGAGACAACTCTCCACAAGAGACCAAATGACACAGAAATTAACAACTATAGGTCACACTACGGCCTTCAACAATGAGCAAAGCCCATACCGCACAGTCAGCTATAAAAGGCCCCGAAATGACAATGTAAAACAATTCAAACGAGAAAACTAACGGCCTAATTTATGTTCAAAAAATGAACGAAAAACAAATATGCAACACATAAACAACCGATAACCACTGAATTACAGGCTCTTGACTCGGGACAGGCACATACATGCAGAATGTGGCGGGGTTAAACATGTTAGCGGGTTTCCAACCCTCCCCCTAACCTGGGACAGTGGTGTAACAGTACAACTTAAGAACGAACTATAAAAATCAGTTGAAAGAGGATTGACTCATCAGATGGATAAAAATACAAATGCTACAAATACAAGTGGACGTGGCCGGGTACTTGTACATCCAAACAACAAAAACACTAAGTACAGATTTGAGAGTACTCGCAGTTACTGACAGCTAGTTCAAAGCCACTAACAACTAATAAAAAAAATCGTGCATCTAAGACTAAATTATCAATCCGTACACATCCAACATCCAATGGATTTGGTGTAAAGACGTCATAAACAGCCAGAGAAAAACATGACCTTGTGCAATGCCAAGATACAGGTATCGACAATAATATTTAGTTTGCTTTTAATTTACTGATAACAAAATCAATATTAGTACCAATAAAAACAATATTTAATGATCTAATTATAGTGTTGAATTGGTAACCTTTTAGAATAAGTTTATTTAAAGGATCGATAAGTTTACCAGGATCGTTTCTAAATTTCCGGGCACGGTAAACAATATTGCCGTAAAAATGAGGATGTGCAATCCCATTTGAAATAAGTTTTCTACAGGTACAACCAAACTTCAAAACCAAATCTTTATATCTGTGGAAGAATTTAGTAAAGGTTTTAAGTAATTTGTGGTAACGAAATCCCTGGCTTCATAATTTATCAGTAATTCATAGATTACGTTCGTTAAAATCAAAAACGTCACAACAGACACGGGCATAGCGAACGAGTTGTGAATTATAAACACCGTAAGATGGTGCCAAAGGAACATCACCATCCAAAAAGGGAAAATTAACAATAGGGAACGAAAAATCGTCCCTTTTGTCGTAAATTTTAGTGTGGAGTTTCCCGTGTAAAACCGATATATCTAAATCTAGGAAAGGACAGTTGTTACCGTTTAAATTTGATTTATTTAAAGTAAGTTCCTTTGGGTAAATTTCGGCAGTATATTGAGAAAATTCTTGATTATTTAACGAAAACATATCATCAAGATAACGGTAAGTGTTGTTGAATTTATCAATTAAATGCAATTTAGACGGATCTTTACTGAGTTTGGTCATAAACTGTGATTCATAACAGTACAAAAACAAGTCTGCTATTAAAGGGGCGCAATTAGTGCCCATGTCTATTTTACCGTGAAAATAAAGTACCAAAGCCCACCTCCCAGTGCGGGATTTTCTCGCCGTGTTGAAGACCCATTGGTGGCCTTGAGCTTTTTTCTGCTCTTTGGTCGGGTTGTTGTCTCTTTGACATATTCCCCGTTTCCATTCTCAATTTTAATATAAAAATAAGGAGATATGGGATGAATGCCAATGAGACAAGAATCCACCAAAGTTCAAATGAAGTGGATGTAAGCAATAATAGGCAACCGTATGGCCTTCACCAATGAGAAAAACCCATACAGTATAGTCAGCTATAAAAGGCACTAACATGAAAAATATGAAACAATTCAGTTGAGAAAACTTACAGCCTAATTTATAACAAAACAATTTTCGATAAAACAAATATGACAGACACGAACCAACGACAACCATAGCTACACTCCTGACTTGGGACAGCGAGAGCCAATTTCACCAAAATACAAGATACAATCCGTCCGTTATTAGTCCATGTCAATAAGTTAAAACAGACACAATGCTAGTCATTACAGTGTAATTACAAAATGTAATTTATAAGCTAACTATCTAATTCTATTTAAACATATTTAATATCAATAACTATCATAATAAAAAAAAATAGTAAGAAGAGACAAAACTGCAGGCAATAACACGAGTTCAAAATAGTGAATGTTTAGTACACGATTTTGGAAGGTATTAGTACATGTTAAGACATCCTGACATAAGACTTAACATAATACCGATATTGATTAATCAAGTGTAGTATTATTATATCATTACTTTATGTTAAACCCGGAAAACCACAAGTCTGAGAATTTAGAGTGCCTGACGGCCAAAGAATATCATTATAATGAAAAGTATAAGTGTCCATTGTTGTTCGGAGAGTAACTATTACAAATTGTATGTTGCCTTTATCTAACCTGTAGGTGTGTTATGACCGTCACTTGGCGTCCATCTGTAAATTCACTTATATTTATTTCAAATTTCTTCTCTGAAACGACCGTTTCACTGTAACAAAAACTTGACAGAAGTTGTGTTGTCATTATGACTTCAGGAAATGTGAAAATAAACAAAACAAAAAAAAACAAAAAACACATTACGACACAAGTAACCATGACACATCATATTTATTCTTGTTTTCTGGATAGCCTCTTATTTTTTTTATTAGGTCCTCATTAAGTTTGTATCAAAGTTTTTATTCGTGAAATCCTCTTATGAGTTAAATAAGAAGAAACAAATAAAATTGAGTATCAAAGACAATTTTGGGGACTTAGTTTAAATAAATCGTTACTATTTTTATCACATGAATTGGATCGTTATTTCTCATGGCTTTTCCTTTGTATATAATCTATACCAGTAAGTCGATTTCAACTCTTACGCTTAAATTGGGCGTCGGGTTTGGTAGCTTCCTCAGTTAAAGGTTCTTTCATTGTTGCGTGCTTTGATCCAAAATTGCCAAGAAGCTAAAAGGGTACGTGTGTTACTTCATTTATCTTTCATTCAGCAACAATGGAAAATCACTTATATCAAAATAAAGGGACAAGTACATTAAGGTCTAAACATTAAACATTTGTGAAGAAACATCTGATTTCATGTGAGATATGTACCAGTTACATCTGTACAAATCTACTCAAAGCTAGCTATAACACCAGGTTTAGTCCACAATTTTTACATAAGGAAATGACTGTACCAAGTCAGGAATATGACAGAGGTTTTCCAATCGTTTAATGTGTTTGAGCTTTTGATTTTGCCATTTGATAAGGCACTTTTCGTTTTGAATTTTCCTTGGAGTTCGGTAATGTTGTCATTCTACTTTTTACAAGAAAGGCCTAGGTAGATTTAAATATCTTCTTTAAATTTCAGGAAAATCAAACCTTTATAAAAACTCTCTAATTCCAATATATGATTTGTTCTTATAGAAAATGTTGATGTTGTCTGAGAAAGAGACGGACTTGATCAAGGTGCTTGATTTTGTGTTGACAGTCGCCAAACGGTAATAAGACGTTATAGAGAAAGTCCAAAAAACTGTCCATTTCTGGGAAATAATGGAGCGGAGGCCCTTAGGGCCGACGCCTGTTATTTGCCAGGAATGGACAGTTGTTTGGACTTTCGCTAACTTAAAATACACCTTAAATATTAAAAACGAATCTTCAGATTATAACATTTTAAAGAATTTTATTAATTTTGAAAATGTTTTCTTTTCATTTTCCCCGTGTTGTACCCAAGAATCCGCAGTTAAAATTAATGATCAAGCTGACCATCTACTCACTTAACGAAGTATTTATGAACAGAAGAATAATTACTTTAAAAATATCTTGAATAAAGTTCATTCATATTTATGTTTAAAGTCATTGGATACGCACGTCTTTCTTGTAGTGGGATGGAAAGGATATTTATTTGTGTCTTTAAGTGGTGTTTCGGGAGAGTAAAAGAAAAACTAGTATTTATGCATATATGTTAATGGATTATATGTATTTTCGTTCGATAAATATTGGATATAGAATCGTCTGAGAAAAGTGAAATGGTACAACTAGAATGAATTTCCAGGTATGTAACACTCTAGTATAGATTATTTAACTAATAACGGTGTGCTCGATTTAAAGTCATATCAAAAACAAAATGTGATTCTATATTTCAAACCATTTTATTCGATGAAATAAAATGAAACAAGAAAACAGTATTTCATGCACAACACAACATTTTGTCATTCCCTTTGCTAATTACAACGAACAAAACTTGTATGCATTTTTTTTTAAATAGCAATACAAGCAAACTGAAAGTATGTTTCATTCTTCCCTATTATCAGAAAGGAAGCAAAAAAGTTTTAGAAACAAAAATCCGCATGATTAAAAACATTTCTGGATCCGTTTTGTATGTATTTAACTTAAGTGGACAACAGTATACCTTTCAATTTCATTTAAACATTTATTTCAAGATAAACGCCGTTTATTTGTACTGCCGATATAACTGTTATATTTGCCACTGGACATTTAACAACAGTGAATGAATTCGATTATGTTACGCGTTTCTCTTGAAAATTGATTAAAACCCCCGCCCAATATTTAACACAAGCCTTATTCAAATGTTATTCATACCCCTCAAATTTTATTCATTAGTACTGTATCTTAATTATAACAACGAACAATCAAATAAAATACAGACTACGCCATTTTGATCATTTCAGTTTCTTTGACTTTTTATTTTATTAAACCACAATATTATTGTAGAAACAATCCGAGTAATTTTTGTGTTTTTAATTTATATAAATATAAAAATGCAACAAACGATTTTTGCTGTACAAAATCAAAATATTTCATGGAAATGATATTTTAAACGGTAAAATTAAAATCAAATCTTTATGTGAAATATATTTTCACTTATTTTCATTATTGAATAATGTTAATGTGTTCAATATCACAATAGAATTCACTGACTCACACACAGTTAACACATTTGATATTTTGTAGATGCACAGAACATGCAGAAGAGGAATGGGACTCAATGGAAAATATTCGTTTTTACCCACTTGGATACTATCCGTGACAAAATTTCAGCCAAGATTTGCATCGGAAAACAAATTGTGAATTATATTGTTGAATTTTAGTGAATACGATACTATAATTTACAAGATAGAATAACGACTCGCAAATAAAAGCTGTTTTTTTTTTTAATAATGAGATAGTAAGTGTTCATTTTATTACTACGATCCCAATTTAAATAAATCCAGTATCAGTCGTTTTAGCAAGATTTCATCTTCATTCAATATCGCGTTACGTCCTCTAGAATTATTCCCATGGGTGAACACTTTTTAAGAAAGTGCCCATGGAAATATCCAAAGGGCAAAACGTCCGGATGTAAAAGACGAACAATAAAAAATAACTCTCCATTCCTGAAAAATAATGGAGAGTTTGAACAAAAGATTTACATCACAGGTGTATTTTAAAAGCTGTTTCAAACAGATTTTTATAGTTTCTTCTATTGATCTATTGTTAAACCACTGTCCAAGATTAAGGTTAGGGAAGCCTTGAGCGCTTAATACTTGTGTAACCCTGTAGTACTGTTTTATGTGTCTTTTTAATACTAGGATGTAGTCCTGTGGTTGTTGTTGGTTGATATTTTTTGATTGTTTTAAGATTGAATTTGGCTATAGATTTCTCTTATGGTTGTTTCACATTTTCTATTTATCTTGGAGCATTTTATAGTATACAATAGCGGCTGACATAGTTGAAGGCAGTTCGGTTCTCTCTAGGAGTTTACATCCTTGTCCTTTGACCTTTTAGATGGATAGTTGTCTCATTGGCAATCGTACATATATATTCATTGCTGTACCAGGACGGACATCAAATAGGGAAATTATATAGTCAGAGATTGGGATTTAAAGAAATACTTAATAATTATACAAGTTGTATAATCTTTCGAACAGAAACACACTCACGACAATAGGTGAGGGCCTGGGCGGGGTTTACAGAACAGAGAATAATGGGCAAATATTACAGAAAAATGGTAAACATGGTAAAAAAAATAAAGAATATAGAATATAGGTCAAACAAATGGAGAATAATAGGGTACTAAAATATATATAAAAAAAGAGAACAATGGACAAAATGTATAAAGAATAGAGAAAAATGGCTTACAAAATTAATAAATGCAGGATTGAAAGACTCAATCCAGACCCTTAAACTTGTATCCGTATTACTTCCTTATTGTAATGTTACTGTACATATATCGTAGCTTACATTTTCTCATTTACTAGTTATTATAAGTTATTGTTTAAAAGGACTAGAATTTGAACTATAAAGATGGCTTGTGATCAAATACAGATGGATGAGTATGAACGTACCATAAAACACGAGGACGATCATACATACGAGCATATCAACTTAAAGCTGGCTAAAGCAGTTATCTTTACACGGAAGCAATGGATTATTATTGTCACTCTGGTCCTGACAGTATCCATGGTGACTGCTGTCATGGTTTTGACAGTAATGTTTCTAACGATAAATGGCAAGTCAAACTAGATAACGTTCTAATCTTAAATTAGCAGTAATATATTCAACGACAAATGGCATGTCAAACTAAATACCGTTCTAATCTTTCATTGGCAGTTATATATCTAACGACAAATGGCAAGTCCAACTAAATAACGTTTTAATCTTTAATTGGCAGTTATATATCTAACGACAAGTGACAAGTCAAACTAAATAAAGTTTAAATCTCTAATTAGCAGTTATATATTTAACTACGAATGGCAAATCAAAACTAAATAACGTTTTCAAATTTAATTGACAGTAACATATCTAACGACAAGTGAAACTAAATAATGTTTTAATCTTAAATTGTCATTTATATATCTAACGATAAATGCAAGGCAAGTCGAACTAAATAACGTTTTAATCTTTAATTAGCAGTTATATATTTAACGACAAATGGCAAGTCAAACTAAATAACGTTTTAATTTTTACTTGTCAGTTATATATCTTACGACAAATGGTAAGTCAAACTAAATAATGTTTTAATCTTTAATTGTCAGTTATATATCTAACGACAATTGGCAAGTCAAAATAAACAATGGTTAAATCTTAAATTTGCAGTTATATATCTAACGACAAATGTCAAGTCAAACTAAATAACGTTTTAATTTTTACTTGTCAGTTATATATCTTACGACAAATGGCAAGTCAAACTAAATAATGTTTTAATCTTTAATTGTCAGTTATATATCTAACGACAATTGGCAAGTCAAAATAAACAATGGTTAAATCTTAAATTTGCAGTTACATATTTAACGACAAATGGCAAGTCAAACTAAATAACGTTTTAATCTTTAATTTGCGCTTTTATATCTAACGACAAATGGCAAGTCAAAATAAATAATGTTTAAATCTTTACTAGTCAGTTATATATTTAACGACAAATGGCAAGTCAAACTAAATAACGTTTTAATCTTTAATTGGCAGTTATATATCTTACGACAAATGGCAAGTCAAACTAAATAACGTTTTAATTTTTACTTGTCAGTTATATATCTTACGACAAATGGCAAGTCAAACTAAATAACGTTTTAATCTTTAATTGGCGCTTTTATATCTAACGACAAATGGCAAGTCGAACTAAACAAGTTGCTTTCTTTTAAAAAAAGAAAAGCAAAACGTGAACCTATTAAGACCGCTGACTGGTCACCAAAAAATTGTTGCTGAATTTTTGTTTCCATTTGAATTGAAATAATTGACTGTGAAAAGAAGAAGATAATGATGAAGTTAAATAACCTTTATTAAAACTATGTGATAGTGTGTACATTCTTGCACATCTCAGTTGACAGTAATGTTGGATAGGTGTGAATAGAAATGTGTATATATACAGCTACTATTTGAATATACATTTTAAAGATCGACTATTTCATTTGTTACTTGGGATTGTACATCATTTTTTTCATAAACCTATTGCAAATCCCAGTTTGTACAAACCGGATGCATAATGCAAATTGCAAAAACCAATTACAATATAAATCTAAGCACTCAGTTAGCTTTATAATCTGGATGCATTTATTTTATCTATCATATCTTTTTATTGAGTTTCCTTCATATTATCAACTCGTTATTGAATTTGTCTGTACTCATGGTAGATATTGTATAGATAAATTTTCCATGTGAAGTGAAACCCTGTGGCATGCAACTTTTAAGAATGTTTCATGTATATTTCTTGAGAGTAACACACCAGCTTCATTTGGACCTCTTATATAGAGACTTATTTTGGTCTCATAAAACATCTTAAATTTTAAGGATCATATCCTGATTTTCTTAAATCAATCCAAATGATCTACAGAGAAACTTGGTTTTGAAGAATATCTTATTTTCAGAAGTTTTATGAATACATAAACATACTCTCAAAAGAACCAATTTATATAAAAAAACATGAAAATATGAAAAGATACCTGGATTAACATGTTGTACGCCAGACGCGAGTTAAGTCTTCAAAGAATCATCAGTGACGCTCGAATGAAAAATGTGTAAAAAAAGGCCAAACATAGTACGAAGTTAAGTAATCTATTCCTTGGGTAGAAATTCCTTGGCATTTCGAAAATGTCAAAATTTATAAAAGGACAATTACTCAAAAAAGGAAGCAAAAGAGAAACAGCTAGAGGTCAGAATACCTTTTTTTAGCAATGATGATCGTGCTTGAAAATCACATGTCAAGCTCTTACTACCGCATCCTGAATTTAGATCAGAAAAGCGGAAATTCGCATTCGCGAGTGAAATTAACATGTACATTGTATGCCTGAATGTGGTATTTTTGCGCAAGAAATAGTAAATAGAAAGCATATGCACTGATACTCTGGATAAGAATACGCATTTGCGTCATCACATATATTGTGACAGATATTTGACATAAATTTTGGACATAGCTGACGTTACAATTATTAATTAAATTTTATTTAAATAAGAAAGGTAATGATTTTGTTAATCACTATTATATACCGTGGGATAATGCAAACTGTTCTCTGGTCATTTAAAGATTATTTATTATCACCAATGTCAAAGTGACCCCTCTATTATATATGGGACATTTACTTATACAACATTTTGACCTCATTTCGAACAATAACTATATTTGGTAATTCCTAATTTTATGCTGAAAAAGAAAGTCACGTTGGCATACCATCAATTAAATGATTGCTATATAAGTAGAAATTCTGCTTTGAGACGCCAAAGTTTGAATTTTTTTTTTTCTTCTTTTTTTTTCTTCATTATTTAGACTTCCTTAATTATACTATTTAATTGGTGTTTTTTCTTTATTTTTTTTTTTTTTTTTTGGTTATTTAATTGATGTTATGATGATAAAATACTATTAAGTATTAATTAATTAATTATAAATCGTTGTTCTTGAAAGTTTGTTACCCGCCTGCTTATAATTGAACGTTTATTTTAACAGTTGATGAAATGTAATTAGAAGTATATGCAACAATATATGAAATATGAAAAACTTGAATAAATCTTAAACAGAATTTGATTTTGCTTATTTCAGTCTCTAAGTTACTGTTTAATCGTTTTGTGGCGTTCCTGCTTCCGAGGTAACCCATTATGTCAATTGTTTGTGGCGTTCCTGCTCCTGAGGTAACCCATGCGTATATTATTTTTTTTTTATGGCGTTCCTGCTCCTGAGGTAACCCATTATGTCAATTATGTGTGGCGTCCCTGCTATTCAGGTAGCCTGTGCAATATGCTTGCCTATATATGTATATATTAAATTATTATAACTTTGTACCGGTATTAGATTATCCAACAGTAAACGGCAACAAGAATTTGACTAACTTGTTCCTAATAGGTAACTTACAAACAAGGTGATTTACTTTATGTAACCCTAAATGAAAGTTGATCCTAATCTTAAAGACGACTGATTGCAAATATTAATATTGACATGCGTTTGAAATACAAACATTCAGTTCTAATTAACATCATTCTGAAAAGTTATTCAATGGATGATTTAAATGAATAAAATTTTACAACATTTCATGAAAAACATAATTTTATAACTTATTTAGACAGTCTTTTAGAAACAAATTTCTTAAAATTTTAAGACATGAAACGCAATACGATTTGTGTAATGAAAATGAACATTTTGTTTCATAGCTGAAAATTTTAAAGTAAAAATTTAGATTTTAAAAATAAGC